TATTGCCTCAAACTATGTTCAGTCACAGCATACTTTCTTAAAATGCGTCATGAATACCAAATATAACAGTATTTCAACGTAGGATATTATTTCATTAGGGTTGATCAGTATAGTCTTTGTTTTAAGTCATTTAATTCATCTTCAACACAAACGCTCTTTTTTGCGGAAATTTATCAGACTTTTGATTCACTGTTATATTCTGGGGTTAGCAGCATATCGTTATAGAATATATGAATATGTGATGATATCATTTGTATCCCTCTTACTGTGTAGATATAACTTCAACTTAAATAGCTTATCATTAAATAGTATTGTAGTGAACAAGAACACCAGTGGGGACAATCGAATGTATTTAACACAAAATTACAGGACTTGTTAATAAAATCTAATAATCATAAAGTAAATGCTTAATTTGCAAAATGTCCACCAATTGTCTCAAAATGACTCAGACTTCATTGTTCTTGCATCTTCATACAAAGCGCATTCTGTTTCCATTCTTTACTGTTCGATCCCCTTGTCTCTTTGCTGCCAGACCTTCTGTTGACGACTAACATCATATACTACTTATGTCAATATAAGTAGCACACATCACAGTATGACTTGATCATGAGTAGGTGTTACTGAATATCTAAGGTACTGATAGTGTTTACTAATGAATATAAACAAGCAACAACTTTAACTGAAGTGAAGATTGTTATTTGTAAATCCTATGTTTAGTTTGTAGAGATCTGATTTTATGAACAGAACACGATTGCTGTAATGGAAACATAATTATAACCAACTGTATCAGTCATTGTTTGACTATACCTTTTTGATTAATTGTACCGAAAATACATTTTATCCGTTGTTTTTGACCTTGAAATGACTCAAGTACGTATGGTAGTCTCGCCTTTAAACATTGTCACGATCTCGGTATTATTTCATTACCACAAAGATCATCAAGCAATCTATCCTAACTACAAACTACAACTGTCCTTGTAATATTTATCCTACGGAGTAATTTAACCTTGTAATTGGCATCTAATCGATCTGTAGTGGTGATCATAGTCAACTGCAACTCGACACTACCACAAGTTATGAGATTATTTAGTATAATGTCACATTGTATACTTAAACAGATGGATACTAAAAGAATATGAGAAATCCATGAAATAACACTAACAACTATTTTGTTTATTAAACTAATGATTTTGCTAGTGTGTAAACCAAGATTTGAAGTCTCATAGCTCAGGTTGAAACGGATATCCATCGTTTTAGAAAATGAAATGAAATAAGAGATTGAACTTAATACTTCTAAATAACAATAACTGAGACACTTCCCTAGAAGATAAGAAAAGCATATTTGTAATAACTACAGTCAATTTTCTATAATGAAATAGGTAACACAAAAAGGAAGATATACTTCAATGATTATGTGAACATCGATACATTTAATGTGACTGATGAGTCGAAAATAAGAAGAACGGTACGTGTTGAATTCCACTGTTAGCCAAAATCCTCCTATTAAATATAAAACTTGTGATGGAACAGTTATATCGAAACAATCGGTGCAGGATGCATATATCCCAGCAAACTTACTTACGCCTAATGACACTCGCGCAGGAGCATGGGCCACCCACCAGCATTCTACATCCAATTCTGTCATCGACAATCATTCCCAGTTTTTTCCAGTTGCTATTCAACCTTCTCATATCTGCTTCCGATTACCGGCTCCCTGTGTTATATTGTCTTCCTCTTTCATGTTTCCCTTCACAATTTCAAGTTAGTACTTACCTCGTGATGCAATTTGATGATTTACTCAATGTATATCCTATCCACTTACAACGTCTTTTCCTATTTTCAGTTGGAAGCTGGTTTGTTCTTTCTCACAACAACCTGTTGTTCACGATATCCGGTCAACGAACATTGAGTATATTGTGTAGACAATTGTTTACAAATACTTGTGCATTTTTGTATGATGACTGTAGTAGTTGTCCAAGTTTCAGCTTCGTACAGTAGAACTATCTTGACGTTCGTATTGAAGAGTTCCAATTTGATGTAAACTTGCAGACAGTTGTTTTGAGTTCCATATATTGTTCAACTGTAGGAATTCTGTCCTTGTTTTGCCAGTCCTTGCATTTACAACCGCATTGAATCCTTCTTGTTCATCGATGATGCTGTTCAGGTACGTAGACGTTTCCACATCTCCCAACGTTTCTCCATCAAGTTTGATTGCGTTGGTATTCTCCGTGTTGTATTTGAGGATCATGGTTCTTCCCTTGTGTATGTTGAAGCCTACAGATGTAGATGCTGTTGCTAAACTAGTTGTCTTCATATGCATTTGTTTGTGTGTATAAGATAGAGGAGCCAGATCATCTGCGAAGTCCAAATCGTTTAGTTGAATTTAAACTGCCCACTTTCGTCCGTGCTTCTCCTCATATGTGGAGGTCTTCATAATCCAATCAACCATCAGAAGAAATAGAAAGGAGGATATTAGACAGCCTTGTGTGACTCCAGTCCTCACTTTGAATTCGTCTGTCAGTTGTCCTCTATTCACTACGTTTCAGTGTAGTCCATCGTATGAATTCCAGATGATGTTGATGATTTCCTAAGGTACACCATGGTGTTGAAATAGGTCTTGTGAAGTCCTCCTATCCACACTGCCGAATGCTTTCTCATAATCAGAAAAGTTGATGTATAGCGACAAGTTCCATTCGACTGGTTGTTCAACGATGATCCGTAGTGTCACGATTGTCCTTCTGAATTTCTTAGTGATACAAATATGATCGATCTGATTCTCTGTAGTGTTATCCAATGAGACACATGTTGTTTTTTAATGTTTTTGTGGACGAATATTGTGCCATCACTAACCATTTCGCTGAGTGCACATAGATTTGTAAATCTCTCATCATTATCGTTCCTTTCTCCCAGTCATCCCATATCGACTCACCACATGTTCATATCCGGTGTTGTCCATTCCGACTTTAGCGTTTAGGTCCCCAATCAGAATTGTCAAGTGTTTTCCTGAGTATTTCGTTATGATTGACTGCAACCTCCTATAAAACAGATGTTTGTAGTCGTCATTGTTATCATTGATGGGTGCATAATACTGGATAAAATTCATTGTGATTCCCTGATTCTTTGTTTTGACTGATGCTTAGGTAGTTCTAAATTCGTGATATTCCCATCGAATAAGTGCTTTTCATGCTTTTCTGAACAACATCATATCAACTGCTTGTGTGTATGGAGTATTTTCTTCTTTGTGATCAAAGTACAGAAGCATCTCTATCGAATCTGATGTTTTCTGTCAAGTTTTGGTCTAACGGATTACACTTATTCCAAACACCATCAAGTTATATCTCTTCATTTCCGTAGCTAACCCAGCAAAGATTGACCAAAACTCAGTTTTAAATATCAGCATTTGAATAATTCAAACTGATATGATAGTTAAACAATAGTTTATTGCACACAATTACAAGTAGTCTACTTTCACTAAGTTCAGAATAGAAATAAATATTGGAAAGGAACTTATTAATCAACTAGTCAGTAAGGTGTGTTTGTCAATCCAAAACCCTAACCAACCACATTTTTATTCACTACAAACCCTTATATTTATCTTAGCTTATTTTCTGGTAAGTGTTTTTTTAGCGAGTTAGTTTTCTACGGGATGGGGACGCTAACCTCATGCCCAACCCTCCTCCTTTATCCGGGCTTGGGACCAGCAGTAACTCTGGAAGAGCTTATTAATACTCTTAATATATTTTCCTTCTGATTGCTTAGTCAGGTACAAATAATGTTAATTATGCTTTGGGATGACTATAATTTATAAACGAATCAATCAGATTTAGGATAATAGGTCTTAGATTTTAGCGCGGAATTCACTCATTCATTTGATCAAACGGCGTCTTAACATTTTAGTTGATGTCAGTTCGTGATAAAAAAAAATCATAAATCTTACTCATAACCTTAATCATCAACTGTGAATCATAATCCTTATTCTTCAAACTATTTTATCACTATCATTTAGCCCTAGTAAGTAGGTAGACATTCTCATGGTCACTTTGGTATCATTCGTAGATCATCCATAAATTATAGTGTTGGGATATTCAGAAAAATATCCCAGAAAGATTATTCTGTTAAGTCTAACGCTATCCTTGGACTTGAGATGGTATCATTTTCCTATTGGTCAATACTTATTTCACGTGTCATTTTCCTGTTGGCCAAATCTTGTACAAATGTTATTTTCTATTTTATGGTACGATTTGGTCTGTTTGATTGGTATATAAGCAGAGTATGTTTGAAATATAATGATTCATATTGCAGAGGCTGAAATTGGTGTTCTCGATTTCACTGGCTAGGCTAGACAGGAAACAGGGTCAATCAGGACTATAGACTGCTCATACGGTTTTACATGTCATTGATCCGATCGATAAGTCACTGCTCTTTAATCAGCACTCACAAGTTATAACGTATAGTTACACGTTTTGATGGAGTTTTGTTCTCTGAGCTGGATGGTTTGATCGTAGAGTTTTCATTGTTCTTCTGAACGACATCATCATCAGCATTAATTTCAAGTAGAAGTGAAGTGTTCGTATTATAGTTACACTTATGCTTTTATTCTTGTACCCAGAATATGGAACCCTGTTCTAATGGATATCAAAAGATATTACTTAATAATCTAAATAAATTTACTTTAGAAATGGATTCACATATTTAATGTCGTTTATTTTTCAATGTATTTGTCATGTAATTTATAAGCACATTTACAATAATAAAAAAAAGGAATTGAATGGGTAGAAATATTAGCATAAACATATTAATGATCAATTGATCATTTAGTACAAATTATAGTCAGTTTTACCTTTGATATTATGATTGTTATTTTCATTCATAGTTTCAGTTAGTAGTATGATTAGTAGTAGTAGTAGTAGTAGTAGTATGACTAATAGTAGTGGTAGTGGTAGTAGTAGTAGTATGATTAGTAGCGGTAGTAATAGTAGTAGTATGATGATGATGATGATTAGTAGTAGTAGTAGTAGTAGTAGTAGTAGTGGTAGTTATTAAATAAAATGCCTAAAGTTTTGATTAGAAACAATTTTCTTTTTTTGGAAATACATATGATAAAGTTATAAAACCGGAATATAGAACATTAATGAAGTGTAATTATATTGGGTTTTGAATTGTTCTCTGGAAATTCTGTTACTATGGTTCTGTTTGTGATTGTTATAGGTGTTGGTATAGTTTTTGTTATTGATGTAGTTGTTGTTGTAATTGTGGTTGTCATGAATGATGATGTAAAAGATATTGTAGTAGTAGTAGTAATAGGATGTTTAGTTTTATGAAAATCCTCTAAGAACTGATAAACTAAACGTTGTCCTTTGACTTTTCGTAAAATATTCTGTGCATAATAATACCTAGATGAAATATTATAATAACAGAAAAACAAAACAGTAAATATAAGGTTAAGTTTTGCGTTGATCTTTATTTGTACTCAATATATGTCCCCAAATGCCCTGGTACGGTCGAGGGTGGGGAGAGTCAGCTCTCCCTATCCAAATGCTCTCAAGTGACCACTTGCACACAACTACTGACAGAGAAGTCTTACTCACTGTCTTCTCGTAACATTACTGTTGTTTACGAAATTGAGAGAACGAAGAGCGAATGTCTGGCACTTTTAACTGGTTGGTGGATATGGATATTCCACCTAGGGGAGTCGGAAAAGCCTCATTCCAAACCAATAGTGTACATGGGCTCCAGTATCTTGAAGGAACAAATGGCGTATGAACCAATCGTTGGTTACCGGCTACCATGGGACTGTATTTCCTGACGTTGCTCCATTGTCTTGTGGATTAGACCTTTAAGTCAAAAGCTCCGGGTGTGCCCCTCTAAGAAAACCACCTGGTTCAGTCTGGGCACTAGGACAACATCATTGTCACACACACATCAAGTGACTTTTTGTCGCATATGTATTTGGTGCCACCTTGTACCAATGTTTATGTGTTTAAATATAAATAAATAAAACGTAATCAATAGATAGTTATTTATTATTCCGAATATAGCACTTTAATTAATTAAATTCACTTGGTATTATTCGTTTGAATCTTCCCATCGGTGTTTAGGACTACAACTGATCAGTCTCTTATTGGCATATGTTCAACCTGTGCGGATTGTCTCGATATACCCTTAATTCACAGGCATTATAAGCAAAGATGGATAGTGGCTAGCGAATTGCAATCCAGGACGCACCTTTCGTCCTATTTGGGACTCGTCAGCTGACGAGTGCTTAGTCCTAGATTCCACTGCTACCCACTATCCATCTTTGCATATAATACTTTAATTAGTTCATTATAAGCCATGAACTTAAGCTTCAGACTTTAATGAAACTTGACAAAGATCAGATTTTCTCCAAGTTAAGATTCTCAGATATCAGTTCTGGTGTAAAACTTGTTACGAATGAATAGAAATCCATTAAGTTTATGAATTGATCATTTCAAAGAAACTAGTATGGTATTCTATGCAAAAGTATCGTTAAAGTTTATTGGTAGATTAAAAAGGGAGTTAACACAATGTAAATTTTATTTTGGAGAGTATGATAGAATACGAAAAAGTAACTCAAAGTTTCGGGATAATAACATGCTTTTATAAATGATATTAGATAGTGAAAGATTAACCTTATATGGTGGTTGGAGGTAGTCTACAGGAAACCCTGAACCCGGGTTTCGTGCTACTTGGCACTCGTCAGCAAGGTGTACCTGTATTCTTGAGGGAACTGGTGGTCCCTGACGGATTCGATTCCATGTCACCTAGCTTCACAATCAGAGACTTGGTCAATAGCATTCGATCTGCACTAAGAAGGAATTGATACACATGACATTGATCACCACCCAGTGATTAATCAATTTGGATTAACCTTTACGTAACCTGAGATAGATAATTCATCTGGTCATGTTATTTATGTATAAATATAATGAAATAATCTTTCTGTACTCTACTTACAAGAAGGTGATAAACATCTCTGAAGATAATTTTCTGTCTAGAAATTGAATACCATTATATGTATATTCTTTTGATAACTGTCTACCTTGATAATATGAAACCTTTTTAAGTTCTTTAGATTCCTGTTAGCTTTTGAGGAACTTCATTTCTTTTTCATAAGCTCTTAAATAATTGACAATCTAGTTCGTTTATATGATTGTGTTTAGATGAACGAATTTTCTCAGTTCGGAGTAAACCATTTGAATTGTATACATTTATATGGTATCAGAATTCTAACTGTCAACCGGGTGATTTTTCATTATCAGTAAGAGGTTGTGGAGATTTTAGTAATTTCAGTAGTTGAATTCATAAATCGATCTAAGCTAGACCATCATTGAAAACCTGGAATCACTAGAAGGTCGTCTCGTACAAGTATAGGACTTCTTAGCAGTGCAAATCCACAATCTCACACACGGGATTCGAACCCAGTACATTTGGTCTTGCACGAGAACGGTGTAAATGTCTAACTTCAATCAGTTCATGAAAATGCGCAACCATCTTCCATTATCAGAGATAAATACCTGTCTCTAATTGATACGGATTATCTACACTAGTCACAGTCTCGCACTAGAACATCGGCCAAAATACGTATTTACCCCTGACGATGGAAGATGGTCGCGCATTTTCATGAACTTGTTGAAGTTAGACATTAACACCGTTAGATATCGGCCCAGTGGCCTAAAACTCAAGTGTTTGCGCGCAAGACATAAGGTCCTGGGTTCGACTCCCGCGTGTGAGGTTATGGATGCACACTGTTAACGAGTTCCATACTAAGACGAAAACGACCATCCAGTACTTTCAGGTTTTCAATAGTGGTCTAACATCGATCTGTTTTTCATTAAATCTCTTAGCAAACAAACAAAAATATAGTTGAATATAATGAAATATATTACTACATTGAAAGTGTACAATATTACTTACCTAAGAGCTCTACCCATTGTTTCATAATTCATATTTGGTTTATGCTTATGTAAACCCCATAAATGTGCAACTGCTGCACTATTCACTAATTTAAACATATTTTGTGATTTATCTACCCAACAAATCAAATGTGGATTATATTCTGATTTATTAAGTAGATAATATAAAAACTGTGATAATTTAAAAGGAGATCGTTTCAAAGAGAAGGAACGAGATTTTAGATTGAGTAATTTATCATGTATTGGTAAATAGCTTTTAGGAGATGAATTTGTAGACGATGATGATGATGATAATGATGAAGCTGAGGATGATGATAATGATGGTGAGAAGGAGAAACATGACGACAATAATGAGGAACTCGTGGGAGGAGAATCTGGAGACATAAGCATATCTGAGTTATTATTATTATTATCTTGGCTCAGATTTGTTTGATATTGATCTGGTACCGACGGGGATTTATAATCTGAAGATGGCAAAAAGAAGAAATTTATTCATATACTGTACACATGTTTATACTGGCTATGTGGAAGGTAACGATATTTCTGACTTTCTAGAATCTACAATGATTGAATGTTTTTCTGACTTTCAATGATATTTTTGAGCATAGAGAGTTAACTGATAACTGACAGTTATACACTTTAAGTAAATTTTGTCCATTTAGAAATTATGATTGCCAGATAATGGTTTACATTATTTTCGCTTCTTTTCGGAAACGAGGAGGCAAGGAGGCATATACTTACATTGAAATTATCCGTGTTAACCTAAAATCATAGTTTAATCATAGTTTCAGATTTTCTATTTATTGATGGTTGGTTAATAACAATAAAATATTGTTACACTACTCCCGATCGTTGTTATTACCTTGACTTGGTGGTCGGGCTTGCCTATTGTGATGAACCAATCGGGCTATACTGGCTGGGACAATTATTCCTCAAAGTCCTACCATACCAGACAGATGGGGGGAACAACGGTAAGACTAAAAACACCAAACCCAATCTCCAAAGAAGTCGTACTGCTGACTGTACAGAGATGTGACAGCAGTAAGGTGTTTTCTTCAGAAAACCGGCATGACAGTGATGCTGCATTCCCACAAGGAGGGGTGGGGTTAGAAAGTGTCGACTCTAAAAATGCACGCCTCACCTCATCCTACAGATATCCGTCTCTGGCGGTAAGGTCTCAGCGAGTACAGAGCCAACACGAAAATTACCTACAAAAAGGTCGTGAGTGACCGACCTCAAACAGTTGTCCCTTAGGCATCGCGGTCACGCTCTCAGGTCACTAAGACTAACCCTAGTCCACTTTCCTTTTCAGGCACCTCCAGAAGAACCCTTCCACGTTGTGGGCAACCGGGAAGTGATAACCGCCCTCATACCTCTAACAGTACTCAAGATCACTGACTAACTGTTACACGACTATCATTCAAGAACCGAATAACTTTCAATGAAAGATATAAAATAAATAATTAGCATATTTAGATAGATTTAAAGTATAAGATCATTGATATAAGTAAGATAATATTTTGAAAGGAGTTAACAACAATATTTCATAAGCAATAACAGATGATCTATATCAATGATGTTCAATCATGACCAGTACGTCAGTTAATTCAATACGGTGAATGAAAGCAATAGAACTGTTTCATAGTATGATTATTAGTTACTATTTTTTGAGTTTTTGAAGTCTTTTGCCAAATTAAACTTCGATTGATATCGATTTCTGAAGAAACCATGATAGTTTTAACACAGTAGCTTTCAGTTGAAACTGAAATATCTGATTGCCGGGGTTTCTGTTTGAAGAGTTTTTTTTTAATTACAGTAGAACATATGGTTTCTGAAGTTAAATATATTATAATCAGAGAGTTTTGTGGAGATTGTACTAATTGAATAATTGAATTCATGAGCCATTTGAAGCTAGACCATCAGGACTGATAGATCCTGGGTTAGAATCCCGCGGCGGGGGGTACATGGATGAGCACTGCTGAGGAGTTCCATACTAGGATGAAACGGCTGTCTAGTGCTTCCAGGTTTTCCATAGTTGTCTAGCTTCAATAGACTCATGAATTCAATCGTTGAATATATTATTATTGGTTGATGTGATCATATTTATGGGTCAGTACAATCCCTTTGTCATTCATTATCTTCAAAATGCCTAGTTTAGCCTGATGGTTTAAAGTTAAATGAATCAAGGACAAAGGATAAACTGAGTAAAAAACTCTGGTTCGATACCTTAGCGAATGCATATGTAACCTAATTAGTTGGTTTTAAGCTATTGTAGACAGTATACAATCGAGAAGAAGACCTCTTAGTAATTCACTGGGATTTTTATCAACAGTTTGATAAATAAACATATTGTGTTCTTCATTTGTTTAATCTTAATTCTAACATAATTGTGCATCAAAGTACTGGTTAATTCAGTAACTAGGATATCCGGTAGTCAATCTAATATCAAACATAATCATTATGAAACACTTGTGTTGGTTATTTAATTGTTTCGATAATATAATATCAATGATGCCAAGATAGTTATGGTTTGGTTGACATTCAAGCTCCGCATCAAGACCCTTAGAAAATGTCTCATTTCTGAAATGACTCAAGTTTGATACCTATACCTACTGTAGCGCAATATCGTGGATTGATTGAAGTTAGACATTAATACCCTTGAATACCAGCTCAGTGGTCTAGAGGTTAAGTGTTCACGCGCGAGACCGAGAAGTCCTGGGTTCGAATCGATGTCGACTTGATTCACTAGAATTAATGTCTAATGTTTCAAAAATTCTGTTACTACTCCCATCTTTACTCTAACAAGAGTGTTATTAATTTGTTTTTCGCGCATTGAGCAGTTAAAGTATTATCCTTCTGTTTAATATACAAATATAAAGATAAGTTTGTTTGAAACAATAAAGTGTATACTTGTCAAATTAGCAAACTTCAGAATCAAACATAAGGAAAATAAAATATCAGTACAAAAGAAAACTGCTGATAATGACGTATTTAAAGAGAGGTAAACCAGGAAATCAAAACAGTCAACTTCACCGTTGATCTCCAAATGAATCTACAAATACTTTTCATGGTATTGAAAACTTAATCTTGACAATGGATACCAGCTCAATGGTCTAGAGGTTAAGCGTTCGCGCGCAAGACCAATAGGTTCTGGGTTCGAATCTCGCAAGGCGGGATCGTGGGTGCGCACTACTGAGGAGTCCCACAATAGGACGAAACGGCCATTCAGTGTTTTCAGGTTCTCTATGGTTGTCTAGCTTCAATTTACTCATGATCTCAACTATTAAAATCGCTATAATATCTACTGATCAAGTGGAGACTATTTAACCGATAGAAAACTTTTTCCGAATGTTTTATCAAGTGTTTTCTAACTTTTAATTATTCTGTTTTTACTATTTTCAAACAGTCAAGTTAATTCATTACAACAAGAATAAATGTAATAGCTTATGAGACCGAAAGGTGATATAAAATTATAATTGATTGATCACTAGTTGATGACCAATGTCATGTATATCGGGTCCTTCTTAGTGTAGATTGAATCCTACCGACCAAGCTGCAATGTGGCCACAGGTCTAGGTGACTCGACATTACGTGCACCATCTTTAGATAATATGGGGGTTGGAGGTAGTTGACAGGAAACCCTGAATCTAGGTTAAGTGCTACTGGGTGCTCGTCAGCGAGATGTACTTGAGGAAATGATGTTCCCTGACAGATTCAATCCTGTGTCACCCAGCTTCATAGTCAGAGACGTTACCACTCAGCTATCCGGGCAGCGACTGACCTTCTGTAGGACTTACATGTGTTCATAATTGATTGATCACTGGCTGAGGATCATTGTCATGTATATCAGGTCGTTCTAAGTGCAGATCGAATCCTATCGACTAAGTTGCAATGTGGCCATCATAGTACTTGACTGGTAAAAAAACTTCCATCTAAATATCACAAATGAACCCATTCTTCCTCTAATATTTAAATCCGTGTTATTGAGTATCGTACAAATTTATGTCCATAATTATTTATTCACAGTTAGTGATAGATGCATTATAGACCTGGAGTGGATTCCTTATCAGTTGATAGTATTAATCATATTGAATAAACAAGTCCTAAACATCAGAAGGACTCTTTTACAAATGATTTATAACTAGTATGAATCCTGAAGTACAAAATATCATCTTACAATATAAGTTTCATACCACAATGTTAACGAGGTTAACTTAGTAGATGTATCAACTCACCTGAACCAATGGATCTCAGTGGGTACCGAAAAATAAAACTCGGTATTAAGTGAATTCTCATTATTGAACACTTAAGGTAAAAAACAATGTGGATCTCATGATCCCATAGCAATTAATCATTCAATAAACCACAAGATCACTATTTAACTTCACGGAGGTAAGTATATTACAGATCAACATTATACGATTTCTAACCCTTCGTAGTCATTCAAATAAATCATGTACAAATTCTAAGATGGTTGGGCCACGTGTTACGTACGGCTGAACACCGATTACCACAACGTGCAATGCTAACCGGTGTTCGGGATGGTTGGAAGAAAGTTAGGGGAGGCCAAACCAAAACGTTCCATCAGTGCTTGAAGTCACTAACTTCTAGTCTGAACCATGTTGGGAGATGCAAACTACTTGGTTGGGGTCAGCGTGACTATCGTAACCAATGGTTGGAAACTCTTGGTGACATGGCTCAGAATCGATCACAATAACGTCGGTGTATGCACTCTATGTCTTCCCTCAAACTAAGAGATTAAAATCACTTCATATCTTTCTTTCTACGAACCAATTCTTTCTTCTTGTACTATATCCTTATTGCAATCTTTCTTTTATATATTACCACCATTGAATTTACTACTTCTATGAATTCGATGTTCATCTTGTTGTGCTAATGAGTGAGGTGCAGCAACTTGGACCGATACATATATGTGACTGGTCCTACGTTGTAGCTGACTGACTGGCTGAAATTCTAAGAATTACGAAATCAGTATTTCATCTAAACTTTGATGATGTAATGAAGCCAGTTATTTAAAATCATTATAAACAAACTAGTTAGTTATTATGACAATTAAGTTGTATCTGTTAAACAGGTTGAAACATGTTGTTAGTCTTTTTATTTATCATTTTATACTTCATTACGCCAAGTCTTTTGAAGATAAAGTAGACTGAATTAAATCTAAGTATTTATACATTTAAAATACTAGAATGAAACAGCCGTCCAGTACTTCCAGGTTATCTATGGTGGTCTACCTTTATTGACTCATGATCTTAACGATTAAAATTACTATAATATCCACAAAAACCCCTCTCTGATTATAATTATCATATGCTCACTAATGATTGGCTTCAAGAGGTATTTCATGGAGTTCTAGTGAGCAGCTGTGACTAGTCGAGTTCAACCGAGTCTTTTGTGAGATAGTAACTCATTGAAGGCAATGGTGAATGGTGGCTCAAATTTGTGGATTGGTTGAAGTTAGACATTAAAACCGTTGGATGCTAGCCATAAAAATGGTCTAGGTGTTAAGCGTTTGAGTTCGAGACTGATAAGTCCTGGGTTGGAATCTCATGAGGTGGGATCACGAATGTACTCTGTTGAGGAGTCTCACAGTAGGACGAAATGGTCAATTTTTCCATGCTGGTCTAGTTTCAATTGACTCATGATGTCAACTATTAAAATTACTATAATATCCAAAAAAACCCTCTACGATTATCAATAATCCTGTAAGTTCATATAACCCAAAATACAAATTCGATCATCCATTTTAACTTCGTTAAAGTATTCAACTTATATTCAGTTAAAGGAAATCTGATAGTTACTGTTAATAGTTCTTAGAGTAGAGACGATAACTCTGATTATGATAAGATATGTGGCAACAACTTAGAGTTAACTGTTATTTGGGAAAAGAGTTTAATAAATAATCAAATTATTATCAGAAGGGGGTTTTGTGGATATTATAGTAATTTTAATAGTTGAGATCATGATTCAATTGGAGTTAGATCACCATGAGAAAGCTGGAAGCACTGGATCTTCGTTTCGTCTTATTGTAGGACTCCTCAGCAGTGCATATTCACGGTCTCGCCTCGCTTAACTCAAACCCAAAACCTTCAGTCTCATGCGTGAACACTTAACGTCTAAATTACTCAGCCGACATTCAATGGTGTTAATGTCTAACTTCAATCAATCCACGATATTGCGCCATCGTCCACCATTGTCTTTAGTGCATTATTATCTCATAACAGATCTGGTTGAACTACACTAATCATGTCTTCTCAATAAAACTCCAGGAGATATCAATAGATCCTGGATTCCAATTTCGTTAGGTAAAATCGTGGATGTGCACTACTGAGGAGTTCCACAATAGGACGTCCACTGATTCCACGTTATTATTATTATCATCACGTAATTACACTTATCAATATACAACAATTCAGTTCTACCTGTAGATGATCGTCTAGATGATCGAATACAATTATTGGATCCAATTTTATTTCGCATCATATTAATCAAAGATTTTTTTGTATAACTTTTTAATTGTTGAATATTTGAACAATTCAATTTCTCAATTCGATTTTCATTGAATTCATTACTATTATTCAATTGATTATTCATTGAATAATGAACATCTTGATTATTACATAATAGATGTATATTATAATTATTATTATTATTATTATTACTATTTATGAATGTATGTTGTGAATTTGTCATATATGATGATAATTCATTCATTATAGGAATAGGAATTGAAGTGAATGGAGTATTTCTCAATTGTTGCTGTGGTTGTTGTTGTTGTTGTTGCGGTTGTTGAATAGAATAATTCATTGTATAATTATCAGATGATATGAATGATGGTATTGATGTGAAATGAATTGAATTATTATTATCATGATTATCATCACCATCATTATCCAGTTTTGAAGATGATATTATTGGCAATGATGATGATGGTGAAGATAACGATGACAACGACGACGTCGACGTCGACGATGATGACGATGATGACGATGGCAAAGATAATGATAATCCTAACAAATCAATTGATGATATATCATGATTTTTGTTCACAATAACACGTAAATCTTCAGCTTGTTCTAAATTATAATGATCATCATTATGTTTATGCATATTATTATTATTATTATTTATATGATGTTGATATAATTGAATGATATGAATATAATATAATAATAATAATTGAATACATGATTTATCATTGTAACAATGAAATGATGATTGAATCATTTGTAAATCATTGAAAAATTTATTTAATAGATCTGAATTCATTTGATGATCATTGAAATCCATAAAATTGATCGATAACAGTGATTGATACAAATAATTGAACACTAAACAACAACAACAACAATAATAATAATAATAACAGCAAAAGAGAGAAAAAGAAAAAAAGAAAAAATGATTGGATAGATACTAGTTGTATATCATCAGTATAGGGTTGAGGAGATGATTAAATATTTTTGATTAAGATCATCAATTGATTGATGTTAGACCATAATTGAAAACATGGAAGCATTGGATGGCCATTTCGTTTGATTGTGGGAGTCTTCAAGATCCTACTCGTGGGGCTCAAACCCAAGGTGGTCAGTCTCGTGTATGAGATCCAGCGGTCTAACAGTAATCAATTCATGATCTCAATCATAAATTAGTCGTATAATTTGACAGTTATTACTGTTTGTATAATTCTGATCTTTCAAGTGAAATTGTGTTCCAGAACTTTTATATGGTGCGCCAGGGTGCGTGGTACCTGTGTGGTTGCGTTACAGGATTGAGCTGTACTATTCAGATTGTAGCGTTAAAGCCTATATGGTGTCTGGTTCCCTTGCTAAACGGGGTTGAGCTGTACCCATTTGGGTTGTAACGTGAAAGTCCGGATGGTGTCTGATTCTCCTGAGAACCAATGTAAACTTACCCTGGCCCACAAGGGTATATTATATAACTGTGAAATTGAAGTTCAACTTTAGGGTTGGGGAGATTATTAAATATTTTTGATTGAGATCATGAACTGATTGATGTTAGACCATTATTGAAAACTTAGAAGCATTGGGTGTTCATTTCGTCTGACTGTGGGACTCTTCAACAGTGTGCATCCACAATTCCGCCTAGAGAGATTCGAATTCAGGGCTTTCTGTCTCGGGTGTGAGATCCAGCGGTCTAACATTAATCGTAGCATGATCTCAATCATAAACTAGTCGTACAATTTGACAGTTATTACTGTTTGTATAATTCTGGTCTTTCAAGTGAAATTGTGTTCCATAACTTTTAAACATTCCTAAAATCAACTTATATAGAAATAGATAATACTAGATAAGTGATTATAATTGGTATCATTAAATAACAGTGTAATATTATAAAACTAATTTGAGTGATAGAACAAGTTTTAACCATCAGTTGATATTTCTTATTTATCTACACCCTGAGATTATGATAATCTACATCAAAAGCAAGCTCTAACATGGAATTTTGAAGGAAAACAGAAAAAAGGAAAGCTAAAGAACACACTACGTAGAGAATCGTAAGCAGACATGATAAGGATGAATAGCAACTAGAAAAGATTTCCTACGACACAGTTAGATGAAGAGTACTGGTAGGCGGTTTATATTCTTTCACGACGTTTGATGACAGGCATGATAAACATGAATAGCAATTGGGAAGAACTAGGAAGGATTGCCCAGGATAGAATTGGATAAACAGTACTAGTAGGCAGTTTATGCTCCTCCATGAGGAAGGTAGTCCCAGGTGTATTCTATTTCAAATAATACATTTAAAATGATTCACAAATCATCTTACTTGTCACTTGTTGTATTTGATTATATTCTGTATGTAATTGTGTTAATAATTTTCCTGTTGTAATTAATTCATCAATAATAAATTTATTACATAATGAATGTTTATTTGGATCATTTAAATGTTTATAGAATAATTCACATAAAAGATTTCTTGAATTATCCATTCAATTCTTTTACTAGATGATTATGACATTATACATGGATACTTAAATACTTGTGAGTAGTATTTATTAATTTGAAGCACTAAATAAGGATTTCCAATGAATGAATGGATTACACAAAATCAATCATATGTATATGCATATATGTATATATATCGAGAGAGAAAGAGAGAGATTACGTTAGGTAAAATGGAAAATGGTTACTATACCGGATTTCTCTATAGTGTTAGTCCGTCATTTATAAGAATAAGAATAAGAATAGTAGTATTTGTAATGGACAATATAGTAATTGAAATAAGTAGTATAAGTCAGTAAATATAAATCGTATCCTTTCAAGTACTCATGCACAGAAGCATTATATGCCATATGCATATATATATTTATATATATATATACCTATAAGAATACAGACACGCCAGTTAGATACAACCATTTGAGTAAGTCATTATATAATTGTGCTTATGATGATTACGTTTATCTATCATCAATTTTTTTGTTTTTGTTTTGCTTGTTTAGTGTTAATTTTTACTTATAAAGTAGTATTAATAGAGAGAATATTAAAAATAACGAATCAAAACGGATCCAATATTGATGATCATAATCATTACCATAAATTTAAAATTGCAGTAGCACACAGGATAATGACACTTACACCCCTACATAGATATAGATATACACACAAATTCATTTAGATCTCATCCTAAGGACACGTTTAAGTATTTAAGTAAGCTATTCTCATATATATACATATATATCTTCTATAGTAATGTAATAGGTATATGTGTATAGCAAATATATTCCTTTATTGAGTTAACCTTAAATAACTACTGCTATCAATTATTTCACTATTGTTTAAGTTATTGTAATAAGGTGTAGTTGATTTTTAATCATACAATGATTTGTATATATTTTGTGTTTATTTATTTATTTCAACACACAAGAGGGCACCAAATATATATATGCGCCACACCATATTTGTGTGTGTGGGCTGTGGTACTGCCCGGGTTCCCAGACTGAAACAGGTGGTTTTCTTAGGAGGCCACTCCTCGAGCCTTCGACCTGAAGGCCTGATCCACGAGGCAGTGGAGCACCGTGAGGAGTTGAAGCCCCATGATAGCCGGTGACCAACGACTGGTTCATACGCCATTTGTTCCTTCAGGATACTGGAGCCCATGTGCACAATAGGTTTGGGATCCGGTTAAAGCGCCGGACATTCGCTTTTCGTCTTCTCATTTTCGTAAACAACACCCCCTTGGAGAGAAGGCAGTGAGTAGGACTTCTCTAGCAGATGCTGTATACGCGTGTTAACTAGATCTTGATGTTCTTCTTCACAAAATATCATTCATTATTGAGGGTTTACTTGAATATCTAGGCTATTTATTCCTACTATGTGGATATTTCAATGAATGATCTGTTTCCTTGTTTATTTCAACAGATCATTATGTCCATTGATTACATGATCTTTTATTGTACAAGTTAGAAAAGAGCACCGTTAGAGATATTGTGGTTGTTGGCAATATATATACATTGATAAGAATATACCTTATTATTTAGATGTTGAGACATAACTTGAATTCATCAAGTTTATCAACAGTTTAAAGGAAGATTGTATTAAACCTTTTTAATGCTGCTTCTTCAGTTATCTAGTGTTTCTTTAACCTCAATTTCATCTTGGTAACTACCAGATGGTGATTTGAAGTTATGACAGCTCTTCTTCTGGTCCACACTTCTTTCATTGACCTTGTGAATGTTTTAGTGATACAAATATGATCGATCTGATTGTTTTGTGATCCGGTATGATCCACGTTGCTCACAATATACATCGAGAAGAATGTATCTTATTATTCAGATGTCAATTCTTGAACTACTAACTTCTAATTGGCGATCATCATCAGGATTGATCAAGAAATAAGAAATAGGAAGCTTGTTGAAATACCCAAAATATAACATTGAATAAAACTAATAATAATAATGATCATAATCTACATATACTTCGACTGTTTTCTTCTTTTACAAATTCAAGACCTAAAGATGTCTGGTGGAATTTTAATAGTTAAGCTAATATTGTATAATGGGCTTGTTCACTGTGTATTACATTAAAAAGCATATAGTGGTGAGACCATAATTTATGGACGACCTTTAAGTGGCACATAAATAACCTTGATAATGTCCATCCAACAACCAGAACCAAATGAAGGTTATAAACCAGTGTGTGAGGAATTAGAATTATGATTTACAGTTGATGATTAACGTTAGGAATTAGATTAAGGGTTTTCATCACGAACTAACATCAGCTCTAATGCCAAAACTGTATTTAACCAAATGGATCAATGAATTTCGCGCCAAAATCCGAGAGCGGTTATCTTAAATCTGATTGGTTCGTTCATAAATTACAGTCTCGCCCTCATTCCAGTATCCCACAGTCACTTACTCATCTTACTTCAATGTTCTGGTAATAGTGATAAAATTTTAGATGATGATGTAATTCACTTCATATGATAAAATGTCCAGTAAATATTATACAATCATTGATAGATTTATATGACAAACACATGTCTCTATCACCTTGTGAAGTAAATTTTCTTTTCATAAGGACGTTGAAAAACATGATATACTTTCCTATTAGTTACAGACAACAGCCATTAATGAAGTTTATACTTTGTTTTATTCTGAATTATATTGACTGACGTTGAAGAGGGCACATATGCCAGCAACAGACTGATCAGTTTCAGACCTAAACATCAATGAGGAGATTCAAATAAAATGACACCAAGTGAATTTAAACCTCACCCCATTGCACAACCAAGTAGATGTCAGGACTCAGTAGCTAAGTGCATAACGCAATGGCGTTTGAAGCGGACGGTGCTGGGTTCGAGTTCCGGAGCGAACATTAACTTTGAGATGCGGGAACATCCATCTGACGAGTCTCAAATAGGACGAAATGCGTGTCGTGGATGCCACTGATAATCACTATTCATCTTGTGATTTAAAGCAATATCAAAGCAATATGCACAGTATTCACATATGCCAATAAGAGATAGATCAATTGCAGTTCTACCAAGTGAATTTTAGATATTAGTTCTTATCTCTGAAAACAACCGTTCTAAATTACAAGCTCTTTTGAGTAGTATGATAATTAGTAGTTATTATCGTTTAGCTCAGCTAATCTTTATATCTTGAAGATGATCTGTAGTTTTCAAGTTCAATGATACATTCGAAGGTTAACATAGTTCAGTATATTCACTATTTCGTACAATTTCTATAAAACTAATAACTCACAATTATACTTACTGTAATTGATAAATAGTCTTTAAGTAAGTTTAATTTAACAATAAGATGGATACGGAGGATCCACCTAAGGGAGGTGGATAACCCTGATGACAAACTAATAGTGTACGTGGGCTTCAGGATCCTGAAAGAAACAAATGGTGTATGAACCTATTGTTGGTCACCGGCTACCGTGGGACTGCATCTCCCAATGTTGCCTCACTGCCTTGTGGATTAGACATTTAGGTCGATTGTTCCAAGTATGGCGCATATTTATTTGATGCTTCCTTGTATCAATGTTCATATGTTTAAATAAGTCATTGTCTTTAGAATTTCATCTTCTTTACTTTCATTAAAACGTAAGTCAATTAAAAGCGCTGAATTGAATTTAATATTCAGAAAGTAATATTCCTACTATTTCAATATGTAATACAGAGCTTTTAAATGTATGTTTAAAGGGAATAATGACTTCTGTTAGTTATTTAGTTCTATATTTCAAATGAGTACTTATTTATTGATTTGAACACATAAATACTGGCACAAGGGGGCACCAGTTACATATACGCCACACAAATCTCATTTGATATGTGTGAGGGCTGTGATACTGCCAGGGTGCCCAAACCGAAGCTAGACCACCGTGGAAAACCTGGAAGCACTGGACGGCCGTTTCGTCCTAGTATGGGACGACTTAACAGTGTGCATCCACGACCCCGCCCCCCGCGCGACTCGGACCCAGGACCTATCAGTCTCGCGCGCGAACGCTATTTGGAAGTATTAAGTTCAACCTCTGATTTCATTTCATTTCCTAAAACGATGGATATTCGTCTTGACCTGAGCGCGCGAGACCAATATTTCCTGGGTTCGAATCTCACAAGGCTGGATCGTGAATGTGCACTGCTGAGAAGTCCCACAATAAGACGAAACGGCCGTCCAGTGCTTCCAAGTTTTCAATGGCGGTCTAACATCAATCGGTTCATGGTCTCAACTATTAAAATTACTATAATATCAACAAAACCCCTTCTGATACTAAATTAATTATGACTATCGAAAAACCTTTCAGAAAAGAAAGTTCTCTTTTGGATGATTTCAGTTTTAAAATTTGTACACTTGTACTTATATGAAATAATCAGTTAGCTGGATGAGTAATATATAGTGGTATGTATGCTAACAATCAATAGGATTTATTGAGTGCAGTTTACAACAATCTTTAAAACATTATAAACAGAAAGTGATGGTAACTAACAGTGCAACTCAGGATTTGCGTTTCGTCTCATCTGAGATTCATTAGTTGGATATGGATAACGCGTTGGCGTTTGAAACGAATGATACTAGGTTCGAGTCCGAAAGTGAAAATCAGCTCTGGAATGAAGGTACATCCAGATAACGAATCCTAAATAGAACGAAACATGTGTCATCGATTCTACTGCTAGCCACTATCCATCTCTCCTTATAATATCTATGACTTAAAGCAATATAGAGATAATCCACACAATATATATGTGCTAATAGGAGACTGATCAACTCAGTCCTAAACGTCAATTGAAAGATTTACACAATCAATACAAGATGATTAATTAATCAATAAATGAATTATCAGACCGACTTCTAATAATAAGATATATAACCGACTGAAGGTCAAGAACACAATCAGATTGATTGGTAGTAGTTTGTTAGCAATGTCATGTTTTTTTTTTTCGAATGAATATTAACCTCTCAAGGAAATGGTCAATTATTAT